GAATTTGGGAAATGTCATTTGATACCATGTGGGTTTAGACTTCTGCATTAAATTTAATGTAAAGCTAAGGCTATATGTAGATATTATATAAAATATGAGATTTCAATTTTTTTCAAAAATTTTTCACTTTAAACAAGTGATAGCAGTCCCATTTTGTTTTTACCCATTTTTCTTTATGTCCCTTCTGCTCACCTTTCCTTCCAATGGGAACTTGCTGAATTTAAGCCTTCTAAAAATAGTTGGGGAAAAAAGAAAAAAAATGCCTAGGAATGTGAAACAGAATATAATGTATGATTAATTATGCAGATTTCCTCAGGTCAGCTAGGAAATCCTAATATAGACAGTTTGAAACTAGTTCACGCTTAACAAGATTTCTCATTCCCCTTGACCGCGGCTTGTCATCACCAAGGACGTTCTCCTCCTGCTTTATCACATCAGTGCACAAACTCAGTATTTTAATGTCATGATGTTTAGGAGAAATGATGAACAAGTGTTGGTACAATGACATGAAGCAAATCAGTTAAAACTTAGCAGGCTATTTGGAAACAAACTTGTCCTAGCATTCTCATGTTGGAGTTTCTAAGCCAGTGGCACTGTACATTCTCTATAATCTAATTTCTTTTAAAATGGCTTTCAGTTCTTTTTGTGTGTGCACTATTGATGTTAAGCATGAATGAAGGCAAACACTTGCACCATCAAAAACAAATAGCATTTTACCACCCGAATGCCCTGGCAGGAGTCCAGGAAAACAAGATTTAACGCCTGAGAATGGCAGTGGGTAGACAGAATTAATGGGTGGTCTTTCCAGAAAAATGGCTTATAAACTTCACTGAAATAGTAATTTGGTGCCTTCGTATCCACATTTGCTCTTGGTATCTTAATTGTTATCTTACAACAAAAATTCAGGACATTTAATAAAAAATTTTATTTGAAACTCAGAATTTTACAAACCACAATTTTTTAAAACCACAATGGTTTTAAAAAGTGTTGCTGGTAATTACTGATAAATTGCATTACTGACCTACTGACACTTTACTTTTTAGTTGATACTACTTAGTGTGATTCCTAGGCAACAAATGAAACTTGTTTTGCCCATACATTCTGAGATTTGTAGCTATATTGGTGGACTCTTCTAAAAGTCAAAGCAAGGTACTCAATGAATATATTAAAAATCTACTTTGTAATGAATAAAATCACCCATTATAAGGATACCGCTACACCCTACACAGAAAATTCTTATTTACTTAAAATTGCTGTTTTATAACGGCTTCTTTACTTCATGATCTGAGAGGAAAAATGAGATGTTCTGGGTTGGAATCTTAAAATATCTTGGTTGGTCAGATCTCTACTAGCCAACATTTTCCCACTTGCCAGATGATGTCATCTCTTTGTTTAAATCACACAAATTGCAGCAATGCCCACATCAGACCGAAGCCATCAGGAGCTATAGGAGTAACACTATCCTGGAATAATTTTCCAGCTTGAAAACACAAGCTTTCTTTCATCTGTATTTTCCCAACCATGTGTGAAGTATTTATGAAAAAAAAAAAAAAAAATTCTGTAATCTTATTTCTTGTAACTAGGCTAATCAATAAACTTTTTGACATTCTTGATATTTTAGTCACCTTGTCCCACATAAAACTATACAGAACAATTTAATGTGGGCTGAATTCCTCTCTTCCTGATGTTTTAGAAAGTAGAAGTGTCTCCAGTGGTCACATGTATCTAATATCCCTCAATCATTCCAGTAGAAACATATCACTCTCATTACACATTATGTCTTCCCATCAGGTTCTGAATGAGAAAGGCTCTGTGGCCTTTGGTTGAATGCCCTCAACTTGATAAGAGCAACAATGTTGTGGACATATCATATGCAACCTCACTTCTAGATAATGTGATCCCGTAAGTGGCTCATAAATAGTGTAGTATCTGAAAAAAAGATTGAGAAAAAAGGCAATCTATAGAGAAGACTCTGCCTCTTAATACTAACTTGCTCATTGATGGGTTCTTTGCAGAAACTCTCAACATCACTTAAGTTTCACTGTTGTCCCACAGAGCTTGTTATCAGTATCTTGCAACTATGGTATTATTTCACAACAAAACCATTAAGCTCACTTATGCATTTTAGCTCTCCAATACTATGGAAAAAGTGATTTCCTGACCTTAAGACTTGACAAAACAGAAAACAAATGACAAAAATATTGCTACCTTATACCGCTTTATTAAACATAGAAATCCTGGAAAATGGACATCTTTTTTTCTCTAGTTAGTTAGAAGCCTAAGGCAAGAGAAAATTCCAGAATGTCAGAAGAACGAGGCTCTTTTTTCTTCAATACCTGAGCGCTTTAGTGCAAGCCTTTCAAAAAGATGGGGAAAGAAAAAAGCATTTTAAACTGCTTAAGTATTTACATGGTGATTATCCTAGTGAGAGAAAAAGAGGAAACCTCTTTTCCTTGACAGCCTTGCCCTGTGAACAATTTGCTAGCTGCCTTTTCATACATTATTCTGTCCAGACCTCTCAATAGTCTTTAGAGGTTACCTCTAGGATTGCAAGAACTCCATTTCACAGATGAGGGACCAGATTTTCTGAATATTTGCATAATTTTTCCCACAATGATACACTAGGTAATTTAGGGTATATAAAGATCCCTTTGCCAAACTTTGAAGGAGGTTGTCTTTCTATTCTTGAAAAGTGTCGGTAATTATGTTCTGCAACTGAACATTAATTATCCAAAACTTTCTTATCCGTTAGCACTACACTGCCTCCAATCCAGTGAGACTTGGAATTAAACCCTGATCCCAAAAGGTCCAAAAAAACTCTGATGTCCAGTCTTCCTCTCTAAAGACCACATTATCTCTTATTATCTTCCAGGTTGGGTACCAGTGCCCACTCAAGAAGAACAATGAGAATGGGTACATTTCTCTAAAGGAAGCAACCATTTTCTCCATGTTGGTCTAGTCTGCTGCACTGGAATTCTGACTCACTGAGTTCTGAGGGATCACCTGGTCTAAAACTGCCACCTGCCTACCATAATCTCCTGGGCAGAGCCTGATACCCTGAGACAGTATCATCTGCCTTTTCTGGGCACCAGAATCTTTTCCCAGTGGCCTGCTAGGTACCTCAGCCTGCATTCCTCCAGTCCCAATTCGTTGCTTATCATCAAATTTCCTATGTTTCTGCAAATCAGAGGTTACGAACGCCTCTAGACTTTAGATGGGTAGTGTAAATGAGTGAAGCTGGACAGACAAGCTAACAACGTGAACTGGCACACAGCTGTGGGGTCTAAGGGTCTGGGAGGGAAGCTGCTACTGTGTGATCATCTGAAAATGTGGGCCCGGTGTTACACGACCTGAATGGGTATTCAAGAGAAGACAGAAATCTCAATATTTTATGTAAAATTGGTAACTAATCCAGTGTTGTTGTTTTTTTTTTAAGATTTTATTTATTTATTTGAGAGAGAGAGAGAGAGTGCAAGAGATCAAGCAGGAGCAGGGTGAGGGAAAGAGGGAGAAGCAGGCTCCCCACTGAGCAAGGAGCCAGAAAGTTTACTGACAGACCACTTCTGTTCCACCTAGGAGGGCAGCCTAGCCTAAAACAATGGATTCTTGGCTAACAATTCCCCCCATATCCCTCTTCCCCCCCGCATTTTATTTTATTACTTTTCAGTGATCCAAAATTCATTGTTCAGGTACCACACCCAGTGCTCCAAGCAGTACCTGCTCCTCCGTATCTTTGAAAACCTTTCCTCTCCTGTTGCTCAGTGGAACTCTTTTGTGTTTGCTACAAGGGATGCTGCCTGATTCAGGAATTATTTGATAAAGACAATTAGATCTTCAAAGTTTACTCAGTTGAATTTTTGTTATTTAACCATACTACAAAGGTTTTTCAAAACTGCCACACAACTTTTGCATAGATAACTCTGTACACTCAAGATGCCTGAATACCATCACATAAACAGTAGACGTTTTCTTTGCAGCCCTAATCAAAGTCAAATTACCCAAATATTACTTGTCTGAAGCAGTATTTCCATTGATGTGCTGTTTCCACTGGGCTGTGGCATTTCTAATGGTCTCAAATAACATCCCTGCTTTTCTAAGAGGTATCCGTTCTATTTTTCTAAGTCTGTGACAATTAAAATAAAAATTTCCAAAGGCTAAAAGGAAAGAGGAAAAGCTACAAAAATCTGATTTGATTTTCCTACACTCCCTCCCTCCCAATTTCCAAGCAGCTAATCCCCTCTCAAACAATACAATAGAACAGCTAGACATAAAGAAAAGGAGATAAAACTGGCCAGCCAGTGCATTGTTCTTGCTAATCTGCACCATTTACATAAGGGTTAGAAGGCTTGTTTTATCATTTAAAGAGGCTTAAAAGCCTCTTTGCAAATGAGATTTAGTTCCTACAAAAGAATGAATTCTAGCTATTTGGTGAGTCTCTGCTAGACCAGCACTGGGAGCTGACTTGGCAGTAACTTAAGCTACTTCTTTGGCCACATACGGTCTATGCAAAGATTGCTTCCAGCTGCCAAAACTGAAAAGTGTCAAGCTGATTAAATTTTTTCCAGGAGGTGGACAAGATGCGGAGCAGGTTAAGAGGCCAATAACATCAGATCTTAATCTATACCTGGGCAAACTCGCCTTTATGCAGGTGCTTTAAAAGGGGCTTTGAACCTTTAGAGGCCTTAGACTCTTCCTTTGAAAGGCAACCAGTAGGGCGGATAGCAAATCAAATTCAGAGACAGAAAGACTTAAAACTCTCAAACTGTGTAGTGAGGACAAGCTAAACTCTTTGATTTCATTGTTGGTCTGAGTAGCATTGGACGCAAGGAAAAACTGCACGGCTAACTCCCTCGCCAATGTTAGCACAAAAGACCTTTTGAAGGAAATGATTTTTTTTTTTTTTTTTTTAACACAGAGGAGTTAACACCCTTTGCATCAAAATCTTAGATTTTAAAAATTAAGATTACGTTTATATATACTATACCTATTATTTGTTTTACCTGGCACACCTTGAACAGATGTTCAGTGTGACCTTGGCCTGAGGTTCAGCAGGGTGAGTAGCGCGAGCTTGGTTAAATTTGCTCCCAGAAGGTACAAGGGTAGTTACTCCCTCCATTCTTAAATCATCAAGATCCTCTGTAACAACATAAACAATTGCAGAGAAAAAATTAGCCCTAATAGAATTAATAAGAAAAGTGCATGTTTTCAGGTATCTGCTAGTAGTTAAGTAAACCATTACACTTCTGCCTTGCAAAAATATTACCTCATGTATCAGTTATTTTTCAAATCATTCCTAGATGTAGCTGGAGGCATATGTAAGGAAAGATTTACAGAAGAAAAACGATGAGAGGCTGAATCCGTTTAGACAATGGGCAGACCATCATCTATGACTACAGAACGTGGACCAGCCACCTTTCTGTGAGCATTCAGAGAAACCACACCAAAATCTCTGCTGTAATTAGCCCCAAATGGTCAGGACTTGGTCAATGACTGACAGCTTCTCTATTTTTTTGCCTTTGCTTCCAACTCAGAGCCAACCAAAGAAACACATATAGTCTTCCAAACTAATTATATAAGATCAGTTGTTTCTAATTAGCTTGCCTTGACATTTCCCCATGCAACAACCTCTATTAAGCCTTCTCTGTTTTCACTCTTAACCCTTCCTTTTTGTTTTCATGTGGGGCTAAGTTTCCCTTGCAATGCAGTTCTGATAGAATAGGTACGTGATCTCCTGTTTTATTTTGAGGGCAAGGACTCTGGTAAAAAGGATTCCATTTATTTGTTCTTATCCTTACCAAAAGAGGGACATGAGGTTTCAAAAAGATAAATTATAATCTTGCCAAAACATAATACATTATTTGAGGTTATAACCTAGATAAGGAGATAAATCATTCTTTCCTGACAAGGCTATAGACTATCTAAACATCTTAGACCCTTCACAAAACAATCAAGAATATTTCTGGTTTAACTGGATACTGTAACAAACAAGTATCAAGTTTTCCTGAGATTGTGACAACTTTTAGTGTGAGTCATAAATAGGCTTTCTGATATCTGAAGAAGACTTGTCAATAGACTCCTTCCATAGACAATACCAGCTAAAATCTTTTCATCTACTTGCATATGAGCAAGCTGGGCAAGCCCATCGAGTTTTAACTCAGTTTCATGGGAGTCATAAAAAACTCACCACCTTGACCTGGTTGTAAAAGCTTCTTCCCCTTGTTTTAAAGGCAATAACCATCCCTTCAAAACTTGGTGCTTTTGCTCAACTGGTTATATAGCCTTCTCTCTTGATCTTATGGATCTGTGTCCCTCATACAATACAGACATTACCACTATCTGAGAACACGGCACTTTCCAGCTAGCTAATTAGCTTCTGTGAGATTCTGTTAGTGTCTAATCCTCACATTACTATTTACCACCACAACACATTGATATGCCCCTCTCCTGCCCCTACCAGAAGAGAACCTCACAATTTTCTTAGCTCAGTTAGGGAACTTACTATACCCCACTCAGTTTTTTTGAGGACTCCCATGGAGAAGTCTGGCCTAATGTTAATTTGTTGATAGATCATACCTCAAAACTTCAAAATGGAGCAGAAGATGCTATCGCCAATTTAAACTTGACTCTGGAATACAATCCTCCATGTGAAGTAAAATTAGTCTAGATGACAGAATGATTACACTTACGTGAACTTGTCAACTAAACAAAAGACCACAGAGTAAATATGGGAGCTAAAGGAAATAATCTCTAGCAGATCATTTTGCCAAACAAATGGCCTTAACCAAGGTTTTGATCCAATCTAAACTCAAAAGATAAATCCGTAAAGGAATTCAAAGAGACCATTATAAAATATCAACCTTTAGTCCCTCGTTTTGAAAAACATAAAATGGAAAAAAATGTGGCTCTAGCTTCATTTACCTAATCTCTGGTACTCTCAAGACAACTGTTTGGTGGCACTAGATGATTTCCAAGGTATATTAGCTGAATTTCTCCATCACACTACCCATCATAGTACAGATAAATTGGTTATTATCTTAAATTTACATGGCTGGTACACTTTAAAAAGCCAGGTGAGGTATTTTTTAAGTTGCATGGATTTGTCACCAGCATAATTCTAGGAAAGCTGTAAATATAGGACCTGGCCAGAAACCAAAGCTTCAAGGGCCCTTTGAACACCTTCTGATGGATTTTACATGGCTTCTACTTTCCATGAGATTTCTCTGTTTTAGTTATTGTATGTCTATAGAATTTCAGGATGGGTTGAAACATTTCTTTGTTGAAAAGCTATGGTCTTTACAGTTGCTAAAAATCTGCTCAATTCTGTGTTTTTCTGACCTTGGGAATATAAGCTTTTTTTTAATCAAGTGACCAAGGCACACCTTTCACAAGAAATACTATTAAAGAACTTTGTAAGGTATTACCCCTTATTCAGAAACCATATTGCTCTTACCTCCTACAAAGTTCTGAAAAGGTGGAAAGAATCAATGATGTCCTTGAAATAAAACTAAAAAAGCTTTCAGAACCCTTGAGCTCTTTTAGTCAAAGGGACTCCCACCTACCCTTAAAGCAGTATGGTCTGCTCCTCCAGGGATACATTGTTTGCTTTGCTATGAACTGGTAACTGCAAGGCCCCCATGATTAAGGATTTTACCTGTGATATTATACTCATGTACACAGACATCACAAAATATTACAGGTTAAGGGTAGATTCAAATAGTCTTCTTAAATGGACTCTTCATGATATTCAGCTATGAGATTTCATCTGTTGGAAGATATATTGGGGAAAAACTGCTCTTGAGCCTCATTGGAAAGGACTCTGTCAGATAGTGTTAACAACAGATACAGAAGTAAAACTCCCTGATAAGTCCTTGGGTTCACATTTCACGAGGAAAGAAGCAATCTGGAATCAACCAGATTGGAAGGCTGGCCTAATAGGGGATCTCATCTAAAGAGTCTCAGAGATTTTTTAGAAGCAGCAGATCTTCCCAGTAGACAATGACCCAAGACTCAACTTTAGAATAATCCACCAGATATGGTGGACAGCTCCTGCACAAGATGCTGGATCAAAATCCCTGCCTAATTCTTATTTTGTTTTTTATCTGCTGACTTATAATCATTCGTCATTTTCTAGAGACCCCTCATTATTGCCATGCCTAAAGGCCCTTTTTCTTTTATTTCCCTCTTGCTAAAATTAGATTAGAACATAATCATAATAACACCAATCTCAGATTATCCTAGCAATAACCTTCAAGCTTACTGATTGCTGGACATGTTATTCCTCACTAGACCCTAATGATGAAAATCCAAGGGAAATTCCAATCTATGGAAATGAGATCAAAGGGAATTACAACCAATGGTGTTTTCACTTGTACCTACAGGGACAAATGACCTTAAACAGATTAATTTGTGACTCTGCTAGTGTTCCTCTCTTACAGAAAAAGAGAGGGACCTTCTTAAATCGAAGGGTCAATTATTTGTCATCTAGACTAAAAGAAATACAAAGACATAAGCCAGCCAATGTGAGGCCTTTGTTCTAACCTCATGTTATGAATAATTCCTTTTTTTCTGGATATCCATGTGTTCTTACCAGATACTACTTCCTTTGCAGCTGGAATAACTAGTCTTCCTTGTCTCACTAATTATCTCATGCACATTAAGAATAGTTTTACAGAATTTATCTGTACACAGACACTCTAATTCTATAAATCATCAAATCTGGAAATTATAATTGAGTCACAAGCTCCAAAATGAGGCTATCTTTCATTATTCAAGCGCATGACCTAAGAGGTTATGAATTCAGAATTTATACAAACAATCAAAACAGTGTTTCCAATTGTAAGAATCATACAAACAAAAGACTGTAAGACAGGTGTCATTTTAACTTTGGCAGAAGTTATAAAATTATACACTTATAATCTAGATGGAATATAGATTAATCTCTATTCCTTGGCAGGAGTAGTAATAGACAATTTAAATTTCTTGTACACTTAGTCATGATGGTATCTCTGCCATTGCTTAGACTTCTTGCTATACTTGGCCCAATGAAACACCTAAGTTAGAGAAGGCTATATATCATCATAAGGAAAAAAGCTATATGGCTCTGTAAGATGGATCTTTATGACCTGTGGAATTATTCTCTTGGCCGTGGTTGGACATTCAGGTTTCTGGTTCTGAAGCATCTTAAGTGGACTTTTAATTATTCTTGTTTATGTCACAGTGGTCATGATACCAGTTCATTTAACTTTACCAGCTTAATACATAATACTTAGTGCAAGTTTTAAATGCTTTTATCAGCCACTTCTTTATCAGATGATCACCACGATGATACAACATCAAAAAGATTAAGAAACCCTTTGATACAATTGATTAGGGAGACAAGTGAACAATCATCAAACACTGAAGATACGGATCTTTTGGCCAACTTCCCACAAAGAGAGAATGACTAAAAGAGAGGACTTAGAGACTGAACATATGAGATAGTGGAAAGATCATACAGGATATTAAAACACTATTCACAACCTCTGTTGGAATCGACCAGGGAAGCCTCAGCAGCAGTTAGCCCCCAAACATTCAGGACTTGGTTCATAAAGGCCTGCTTTCCTCCTTTAACTCCATTTCCAACTCAGAACTAATCAGAGAAAGTCAAATATGCTCTCCAAACCAAATGCTTCTAGTTAGCTTACCTCCAGGTTCCCCATGCCAACAACTTACAATCAAAACATACTCAGGCCATCCATCCACCCCATCTCCTCCCCCAACAAATGGTAGAATCTCCTTGCCAGAATTCTCTTTCTACTTGCAGATTCAAGAGGGGTATTTCATAAGGCCTTTTGAAGATAGCCAAACTACCCTATTTACACCTGTTTATTATCTTTTTTTTTTTTTTTTTCCTAGCCAGAATAACTATCACAGTGTGGGATAAAAAGGGAACCCTAGAGTGAGAAGACTGCTAGAATTTACTTGCTGGTTCATTGGAGACTTTAGGGTGCTGTAAGCGAAATACTTCAGCAGCTGTGGTGGCTGTGAACTGTCCAATGCAGCTGTGATGATGGCAGTGCAATTGGCTTTTGAAATCTTGAGAGAAGACTTACCCTGAGAAATACTCAACCTTTCATTCCTTACCAATATCTGTTCTG